CGGTAGCAGAAAAGGATAATTCATAAACACAGGGGGTTGCAATATTCAGTCGCTATGCTACTGTTTATCTATGACAATTGTCGGCTCCTTTCTCTCGAGGATAATGGGCTAATTGCTTGATCGTCGGCGTGCGGGTCGCGACCTGCTGAACCTTCATCACCCGCGCTGGACTTGAGTGCCTGGCCATCTGGCACCCTAGCGCTGACGTTAGAACATGCGCTCGCCTCTGCACAGCCCGAGGGGTGAATTGCTTTGACCAAACTGAACCTCAGCACCGAATATGTGTTGGGCAGTGCGTTGCACTTTGGGGCTCCTAAACCATGATTAAAACCCCTCGCGGCCCACACAATGGTCGCCTCTCGTCAACAGTTCGGATTGATCAAATTTGTATGTGTGTGGCCGGCGCTCGTCGAACGAGCTATGACTAGAGAATTGGCGTCATTTCTCCACAATGCTGCCGCATTTTCCTAGATTTGCGTTTGAAAAAGTTTTCCGTTTTCTCCAACGTATTTGCTTTGTCCGCAACGACATCAGATACAACAGACGACTTTAAGTGTTTCTTTTCGTGGTATTGGGACTCCTCGCTTGTATTGACCTCTATACAGTACTTTTCGCAGAAATGATCGGATAAATTGAGAAATAATACGTTCCTTGACAGCCTGTGGGGTTTACTGAAATCTATTGCGGCTGACAAATTTAGAGAATAAGTTTGCAGTTTTCACCTTGATAAGCTTTTTGAAAGGGTTACGCATGAATGGAGTGGCGCTTTATTAAGAACTAGGAGGAAGAAGTTTAGGCTACTGAGGTATTGCAGTCGATGGCGTGCTTCATGAAATCTCCTATCCTTCACAAGAGCATTGTTCGAAAAAGCATATCACGTTGGACCTTGAGTGTCCTAAATCAGTAACGGATCAATCGACTTTAAAGACGAAGCATATTGTGATTTATAAATTAATATTATGTTGTTTTTAAAATCGGAAAATTACAAAAACCTGAAAATCTATGTAGATAAGTAAATTGCAGTTTTAAATATACAGAAAGTTTATCTATGCAAGCAAAGCAAGTGAATAAAGTAGCACAAGTAGAATTGCATTTGAAAAAAGTCTTTACTTCATTTTGCACAGAAATATTCTAACATGTAGAATATTCGGATTCTATAATTAACCAAATGCTTAAGGTCGGCCTGGTTTTTACTTGTTAACTTGAGTAGACGCGATCTCCCTTAAATCGA